CGTGGCCAGCAGAGGAACCGTGCACATGTTTTCTATTGGCTGGCGGCTTGTAGGCTCGGCTCGTGGGGAGAGGTAAGGGGAGATCAGTGAGGGAGACATGAGAATCTAAATGTGTGCATCGGTGATGGAGATGGAGATGGAGGAGAAGCTTAACCTAAATGTTTATGCATACAACGGGCTATAAATCTATAGCTATAGTTGTACACTGCAAATATGGAAAAGAGCTGCGCGTATTACTTTTCTCGCTTTTTCTCCCTGAAAGAAAGATTAGCTTTTTAAATGCAGTTGATCATTCGTTTAATTATAGTAAATAAAAACATAGTTGTCAGGCTATTAAGAATTTTTTTTCATTTGTCAAAAAATGACAAGCTCAACGCAACTAGTATATTATTTTGCTTTATTAATAAACGAGTACCTTTATTCCAATAATCCGCTGCGCTTAATTGTTCTTCACTTTTACGATAAGTGAAATTATTGAATAATAAATGAAGGCATTCACCACAACGACACAGTACACTCAAATATTTTTTGTACTAAGTAATATTATTTACTAATATACTGAACACCTTTACCCGAACGCTCCATTGCACTGATATCTTTATTTGTGAATTTATATTTTTTTACCATTAATACATAGCTTAACGGCAGTAATACGATAAAGCTTAAATTAAATCTCAAGCTTCGAAACTTTACGATAAACATATGTAACGTTTAGTCTCATCATACCCTAAGCGTTAATAGCTCAGATGGCTAGAGCAGGAGGGAGAATTTTAGTCTTGCGGCTCCGGGTTCTAATCTCACTTGGAGCAAATTTTTTTTTTTTTTCATTGCAACATTACTTTTAATGCTTCATACTTTTTTGTTTTATGATTACTTACGTATTTTGTTTTATCAGTAACGAAAAAGATTTTTTTTTTTCCAATATTGGTACACGATCCAAGAAAGTTTTTTTTCCATCCATGGCTAAAAAAATTATTTGACGCATTAAGTAACAGCTTTTTAAGTGCAGTGAATCAATTGAATTTCATATTTTAGTTTGCATTACAACTAATGACGTTAACGAATTCTGGAATTGCTCAAAGGTATTCCAAAAAGTAATTTTAAACTTTTTTTTTAAATTATAAACAAAATACTTTTTTTTTGTACATTAAAAATGATTGATTAGTATGTCGTAGATAGTCATGTAGAAAAAATTACTTGTTTCCTTGCCAAAGAATAAAGACTGTTTTTGT